AAGGGCAACACGTTGTGCTGGGGTGGGACTCTCTCCCAGAGCCACCCAAGATGCTTAGCATGCTTAGCGCTGTCCTACCCCACCCGCTGCACCTGGGGACACCCCAGGACTTCCTCTTCATGGCCATGTGGGCTATGCTGCTTGTTAATGGAGGTGTGCTGCATCCCTCAGAGTAAAGAGATCATCCCGTGGGAGAAGAGTGGCTCATGGGCGACAGTCACCCAGGAGCAATGAGGGCGGGACAGACAGGCCCACGAGGAGCACTGGTGAGCGGCTCTGTGTCAGAGCCGAGTTCACGAGCCTGCTGCTCCCGCCTGGCTACACCAAGCGCTCCTGGAGGCCAGGCTTTGGCCATCAGTGTATCTCGCCCCACACCTACAGTGGGCTTTGCACCAAGTAGATAGGGGACGGAGGGTGTGTGGAAACCAGAGAAGATGTAGTAAGTGAGAAAGAGGAATGGTGGCCTGGACACATCCATTCCAGGTGCTTCCCGTGGCTAAGTGCTTGGAATTCAGTGAACAGCCATATACTTTGCCCACTGTTGTGGACCCCCCAGTCCGGGGCCAATGGATTCTGTCACATTTTGAGGCCACATGGGGGCTGCACAAGATTATGTGCTACCGAGTCTGTTTGAGAAGAGAGAGGGCAAAGGAGTCGGGCCAGGCAGAATGTGGACTCTGCCCTGGATCATCTACACAGGGAAGAAACCACAGAGGCAGGCAGAGAGAAAGACCGAAACAGGTGAGTTTAGGGTCACATGGGCACGCCTAGGCTAAAGAGGGCCCACCCAGCACAGACCCGGTGGGAACTCCCACATACAAACATGGCCCCTCCTTCTGTGTCCTTGGTCACAGGAGAGACCAGGTGGAGAGTGCAGATGACACAGGCCACCTGTCCCCACTACAGGACAAATAGCTCAGAGGCAGACCCTCCTGGGAGTTGGCCAGGAGCATAAGCTTCCTATATGAGGGATGGGTCACCACAGGCAAAGGGAGTGTGATGGAGAAGGAGAGGAAAATGCCTTCACCAGCTCAGAGCAGAGAGAGGTGCAAAGAAGGGAGAAGCCCCAGGTCCTGGAGCCCCGAGAGGCTCACGACGTCTCCATCTCTCCCCACCACAACATAAGCTCCTCTTTCAGGCTTTTTCTCTTCCTATTTTCGTCACTCCCTTTTTTTCTCTCTCTCAAGCCTAAGCCTTAGGTCTACCAAGGACGCCTGTCTGGAACACTTGTTCTAGAACTTCTGTCTTGACTTTTAGGCCCATGAATGAAATGCAGAGGAGAAAAGCTTGAGTGGGAGGGACAGCATGTGCTGTTGACTTTCTCACTTAGGACTTCTTAACTTTCAAGACTTTGAGGACACAAAAGGGATTTTGCATGCATTTTCACAGGGTTTGAGGAACCTCTGAAGTCAGTCCATGGGCCACTGCCATTAATTTATGTCAGCTGTGGAGAGGAAGGGGACCTACAAAGGGTTTGGAGTCCAACAGGCTAGGGTTTGAGTCCTTTCCAAACCCTTTTGCTTGTTACCAGCTGGTTTGGGCAAATAATTTAAACTCAGTTTCCTCATCTATGAAATGGGGGAGAAAAACCACTTACCCTGTAGGGCTGTTGTGAGGGTTAAAGCCCCGAGCACATTTGGAGAACCTGGGAAAATACCTGGCCCACAGTCGGCAATCAGGAAATGGTGCTTCTCTCCCCCGAGGCAGCTCTCTGCTGCTCCCTAATTCAGAACCCTCAGTTCCCTGTGCCCTCCTGCACTACTCCATTTCCCGTCCAACCTGGTGCTGCAGACAATCTACAGTGCTGGTCCAAGCAGCCTTTCCGTTCCTCCACCCACAGTTCCTCTGCGTATGTGCTTCCCACGCCAACCCAAACCGGCTGCTGCTTCTATAATAAATATGCTCTCGGCGCAGCCTGGCCCTGAGTCTCAGCTGCCTGCTCCCTGCTCTTCTCCTCAGTTCCTCAAGGCTCAGGGAAAGTCCTGCCACCTCCAGGAAGCCAGGTGCCCTGCCCCCTTTCTCCACACCAGCTTTCTCCATATGCTGTGTGCTCCCAGCTGGACGGCAGCTCCTTGAGGGACAATTAATTGTCCTCCTTGCAACTTCCAAGTAGGACCGTGCATTGAGCCAGTGCCTGGTGCTGTACGCAGCACAGAGCCGCCCGCCCAGGTGGCCTGGAGGGGACGAAACCTACCTTCTTCCTAAATAAGGGCAGGGACCCTGATGTCTTGCCTACGGAAGGCCCGTGCTTTAAGTTAGGTTTCCTCTGGTGGGTGGGGGGATTGCCCTGGGCCACCCACCCTCTCTCCCCCGGTCCATCCATTGGGCTGGGTACTCACTGGCAAGATTAGGGGTGCTCTGTCACTGGGGAACACAGCAGACAACCTCCCACCCCACCCTGTACCACCGTGGACACTGGCTAACTGGTGAGCAGTCAGAAGGTGGTCTGTCTGGGGCAGCACTCAGCCAGTGTCCCTTCCCTGCCCTCCTGGGCACCATTAGCTTCATATTTGTGCTGCCTGAGCAGAGAGAGGGTTAACAGTGAGCAGCAGGGACACAGCAGAGTACAACACTTGGAGCAGGTGGTGGGGTGGGGGAAGAGGGAGACAGAGTGGACAGGCAGTCAAAGGAGGAATGCAGCTACACACCAGGCTGCGTGGGTGGCTAGGGATCTGGCAAGAGGCCCAGAGAGACTGTGCCTCCACCAGCACTGGCTGTCCTGGCCAAGGTCTGACGGCACTGGGAGGATGGGAGGAGGAAAACGACACACGTTGCCACCTCTGTTTGTGCTCGAAAGGAACACCCTGCAGGCTCCACTGTTCCTCCCCATCTCCCCACCCACAAGGCTCCTTGCACCCCTCTTCTCTTGGCTGCTCCCCTCCCTGTTCCCAGCACCCCATCTCCCCTCCCCTTCACCTGTAGAAGAGCCAGTGGGGCCTGAGAGCCTAGGGAAGGAACAGACATGGGCAGGAGGGGCGCTGAGGAACTGAGGCTCGGAAGGAGCAACGTCATTTTCAGCAGCACCCTGTGTGCACAGGGCCGTGTCTGCTGCCCTGCAGGGAGTGGGGGCGGGGGACAGATGAGACTTGGCTAGGTGAGCTGGGCTGGGGACTGTGAGGTGAGCCCGTCCTGTTTGCTTCCCCTGCCCTTTCCGAGGAGGACACAGGACACTGCGGCTCCATTTGCTCAATGCCTGCGCCAGGAGGGCTGCGCCCCTTGTTCCATTTAATCTTTCTGATAATTTCCCATTTAATATTCACACAAACCCGCAAGGCAGTCATGATTTAAAATATTCCCATTTAGGGCCGGCCGAGTGGCTCAGTTAGTTAAGAGCTCACTCAAGAGTGTGAGCTCTGAGCAACAGCGGTTCAAGTCCTGGCCCGAGCTGAGCTGCCGCTGAGCTGCCAACAGGCAGCAGGATGGCTCAGCTAAAATAAATAAAAAAATTAAAATTAAAATAAAATAAAATATCCCCATTTAACCGATGAGGACATTGACAGTCAGAAAAGTTTGTGGAGTTGCCCAAAGCTTGGTGGTCAGCTGGGGCTTGAACCGGGTCATCCTGATTCTAAAGCCCGTGTTTCCCCCCACCCCTTCACACACTAAATCAACCCTCTTCAGTGGACGCTGTCCTATTACCTCCTCTCGTCATAGCTCCCACGGCCACTCTTCCTTCCCGCTTCCATTTTGGGAGCTGGCAGAAAGTCAAGGGCTAGACTATCAATAGATGGTAGCCACTAGTTGCAAGAGGCTATCTATACTTAAATTAAGTAAAATTAAAAATTCAGTTCCTCTGGTTGGTTATATTAGCCCCATTCCAAATGCTCAGTAGCCAGGTGTGGCTAGTGGCTATTAGCATAGACAAAACGCTTCCATCATCACAGAAAGTCCCATAGGCAGCTCCGGCAGGAGACGGGAAATGGAGAGATCAGGCAAGGGCTCCAGGGGAGACTTTGTGAGGAGACGGGGAGCATGGAAATAAGAGCCTGAGTGAGGGGAGCAGGGAGAGGTCTGGGTGGGCGTGGGGGAGCAGGAGAGAGCAGCTTGACCTGACTCCCAGGAACCTCCCTCCGATACTGATACTCTTACTCTCGACAATACTAGTGAGCAATTAGTTGGCTGGGGTGGGGCCAGGGCCAAAGCAGGAGGGAGGGCATGCAATGAAGGAAGAACCGCCCACCCCCTCTTGGGAGACAGATTCTCGCTCTGGTTCTCTGGTCCTGCCTTTCATCCATCAGGGACCCGGACTCTGTAGGCCCTCCTTCACCTTCCCCAGACACGAGCCAGCTGCTTCCTGTTTGCTCATCCAGGCCCGGGAGCCAGCTAATGGGCACAGGCCACCACCTTCCCAATTAGCCCTTTTATGCTCTGGCTCACCCCTGGAATCAGGGTCAGCAACCAAGGGCGAGGGGCTGTGAGTGGCCTGTGAGTGGCCTGTGAGTAACCGAGGCCCAGCTATGACAGGGGTCCCCAGCTCAGGCCTCTCCCCAGGTTGAGGTCCTGGCACCCAGCACCCCTCATGCTGTCCCTGGAGCCCCCCAGGGGGATAGGTCAAGGAGCTGGGTTTTGGAAGGCAGATTCCTAGTTTCTGAGAGGAAAATGCTCACTCACTGATGGAAGACTTGTTAGGAGTGTGGCAGGCATGCATTTGTGACAATGGGGCACTGGGGGTGGGGTGCAGACCCTGATACCTGGAGAAAAAGGATGGATCCCAAGGGAAGTGGCAGATCCAGGGGCTGCGGATGGGAACCTGGTGGGGTTAACCAGGCGATCAGGGTGGGGGCCAGAGCAGGTACCCGGATGTGGAGGGCCAAGTTGAAATGCCCAGGTCTGTCTGTGAGTGGAGGGAGGATGGGGAGTTGGACAGGCCAATACAGGGAAGGCAGGAGGGTGAAGGAGCCACGTGACAGCCTGTGGGCAGCCACCGTCAGGGCAGATTGCCTGGTTCCAGGTTAGGCAACGAGGAGCCAGGCAGGCCAATCAGGACGCGTGGCCACGGTCCCTGCACTGCAGCCACCTCTGCTGCTGAATAGGCAGATGCCCTGACTGATTACTTCAGCTCCTCCCGGCCACACCAATTTCCCCCAGGCACATGCCCGCCACCTCTCCTCCCCTCCCCAGTGACTCCTGCCCAGAGAATGTCCAGCCCTGCCATAAAGGCCCAGGTGGCCACCAGCTGCTCTCAGTCAGAAGGCCACACAATCCAAGATGGGCTCCTCGCAGGCACCCCGGAGGGGGTGTGTGGGAGGGCAGGGGATGATGGCACTGCTGCTGGCTGGTCTCCTCCTGCCAGGTAGGAGGCTGGTGGCCAGGGGAGGAGCGGGGATGGGGGAGGGGGATAGGAGGGATGCGGACACCAGCTCAGGAAAGGCTG